CATGGGTGTACCCTGAGGGGTGCAGGAGGGGTGGCTCTGTCCGGGAGTCCACAAGGGCTTGATAAACCAATACACCTCTCCCAAAGGTGGCCTGCGCAGGGTCGTGGCACCCAATTTATATAAGGGGTGACTCTCCACACAGTGTAGACCCAATGGTTTTCTATCAGGCAGCCCGTGGGCTGCCTAATCCAATGCCTTAGCCAAACCTACTCTTGCCTGTAATCAATAAAGTTGTGGCCTAATTCATCCCAGTACCAGTACCCATTGTCACTTCTTTTGGTCTTGCCTGCACCAGCCTGTGGCAGCAAATACATCCATGTACCCTCTAGCTTTTCATGTCAAGGGCTCTTGTTCCCCTTTAATATCTCACTTCAAATGAACAATTCACTTAGTTGACACTTTAGGAAAGTGGGTGCTAAAGGAATGTATTCTTACCATATAGAAATCTCACAGAGAGATCTGGAAATGATCGCTTATGGACTTACACTCTAGTCTCTCCCCCACAAAAAATATCTCCCATGATAGAATCTGGATTGCTGCCCTAGCATTACTTACATGAGCTAATTAATTATTGAGCTAAAAAAAATGAAATTAATTACAAGATACATTGGCTTGATAATTAGATTCTTTTATGGCTTTTATCTGCAGGTGTATAAATCACAGTGCTCTTAATTACACTCAGTAGCTTTGGAAACAATCACATGTGGAGTTTGCAGATTCCAGAAGTCCTAAAAGTTTGGGAGAAATAGGTAAATTAATATTTATCTAACTGAAAACTGCTGCTTTCCCATATTCTGCAATGGGAATACTGCCATTTCTAAAAATATTTGTATTGATGAAAACAAATTAAGAATGTTGTCCAAATTTTTGCATACATAAAGCTAGGATGACTCCCACTCCTAAATTTGCAGAGACTGCTAATTAGTAAGTTAGAAATATATATTTATTTAGGAAAGTCATGGTCCAGGAGTCAGGGTACAGAGATTCAGGAGGAGGGCAACTGAACTGAATGGAAGCATCAACAATGTCCCAGCAAGTTTCCCAATTCCACCCACTAAGCTTTTAAAGATGAGGCATGTTATACTCACTAACGAGACTTGTTTATCTTGCAGGAATGTCAGGATTGGAAAACCATACTCTGTCATGGTGGGTGGGTCTGCTGCCATCTGCAAAGATCATGCCTGGTTCTAGGAAACAAGGCAACACCCTCCTGTTCAGGCTCCTGTTCAGCACTGGCTCTGGTTCCACCACCTCCCTCAGCTGAGCAAAACCCTCTACATCCCCTAAGGTGTCTCTTGATAGTTTGCCCAGGAAGAGGAGCTGATCCTCCTGCTTCTACTTTTCAAGTGCTGAAGTCAGAGAGGAACAGATAAATCCCCTTATCCAGCCCAACTTTCCACTATTCAGCACTATTTCTGTCTCTTCCTTTACCTGCATCAGAGCCTTCCAATGCAAGCCAATCCCATCAGCACTGCATGGCTTGTGACAGCTTATTAGGTTTAGCTTTAATTGGTGAAGCAAATCACAAGGGGGATGCGGGTGGTGCTGTGGGTTAAACCACAGAGCCTAGGACTTGCCGATCAGAAGGTCGGCGGTTCGAATCCCCGTGACAGGGTGAGCACCCGTTGCTCAGTCCCAGCTCCTGCTAACCTAGCAGTTCGAAAGCACGTTAAAGTGCAAGTAGATAAATAGGTACCGCTCCGGCGGGAAGGTAAATGGCATTTCTGTGCGCTGCTCTGGTTTGCCAGAAGCGACTTAGTCATGCTGGCCACATGACCCAGAAGATGTACACTGGCTCCCTCAGCCAATAAAGGGAGATGAGCGCCGCAACCCCAGAGTCAGTCACGACTGGACCTAATGGTCAGGGGTCCCTTTACCTTTACCTAATCACAAAGCTTTGGTTTAACCAGGGAAGTGTAGTGATTACTACACTTTCCTTCTTATCCAAAAGGCTTACTAGGTAATATTCAGTCACTATTTATGGTTATTTATTTACAAGTGGGGCCGGGGGGGGGGGAGTTGGGTGGAGTGACCCTATTCCATGTTCCAGGAAGACAGCCATGCCTTCTTTGAGGATACCCTATCCCTGCCTTCTGGTTTCTCCTTCTTGGTCCCAATCACTGGCTTCATCATGTGGCTCCTGGCTGACATTGCTACCTTGTGGCTTGTTTCTTGACCCTGCCTCTTGATTTGGCTTTTGGTCTTATTCTCTGACTCCACCAGCTGGTTTATGCCATGGACTTACATTATGTTCTGGGTGCTTATCAGATTGCCTCAATGGATCCACTTCTGATATCAACTTTTATGCCATTTTCTGTGCTGAGAGAATTGTGCAGATCAAGCATAATGTGGGGTCCCATGAAGCTAGGGATGGAGCAGTGGATGCCTCTGAACACCAGTTGCTGGCAATCACCAGTAAGGAAAGTGCTGGAGAGAGATGTCAGTTTGACATAGGCATCCAGTTAGCCATCTGGAGAAGAGGGTGCTTTGGCTTGAGCAAGTAGGACGTTTTTATGTTCTTAAGGTTTGTGTCACCTATGCTCAAATAAAAAGTGCAGAATTGGGATGGGTGCAGTCCCACCGCTTCAAGCAGATACCTACCTCTGTTCTTTGCAATTGTGTCTGAACTGTTCCCCACCCCATCCCCATTAGGGGAAAAAGCAACTCAGCTCTTAGTAGGAATTTTTGGCCTGCAAGAAGAATCGGCCAATGCTTGTGGACCATGGAGGTCTTTTGCTAGCAGGCAAAACCAGGGAGGCTGTTTATGTAGGTTTAGACTGGTCGCAACTTGTGCACAGATATGTATAGAAAGGTAGTGAGAGGTCTCTCTGAGACATGCTCAAGGCAATGGGAAAATCGGAAGGCTTGTGTTTTGAGGCCATGGGACCCATAGGAAAGGGTATGGGTTTCCTTTGGGGACAAGGCTGGGACACTTTCCTGGTGCTTAGCATATCTAAATGTATGGTGGCTATTTATTTATTTATGTATGTATGTTCTATACCACCCTTCATCTGAGGATCACAGTGGTTTACAATATAGAAACACAAAAATACATATCATAATAACAAACAAAAACAATACCCCCCCAGTTTAATTGGCCATAGATTGCTTAATTAGCCAAAGGCTTGGGAGAAGAGGGTTATTTTTATATTATAACTAAGGTGCCGTGCAAGTATCCCTGGGGAAAGCATTCCACAAACAGTGCTCTGGACACTTCTTGAGGTTCATCTTCTGTAACAGTTGAGTCAAGGTCCCGGTGGGTCAGGCTGTAAAAGGCCCCACACTACCCAGAACAGCTCTTAACAGATTGCACAATGAGGATGCAATGGAGGCAGCAAAGTACGTCTTCTTTGCAGCCTTCACTGCCACTAGGTTGATTGCATTCAACTGGTTTTTCTTCTACTTGCATTCAAGCTGTTTTCCAGCTTGTTTCCTTACCCTAACCTCAGGAGTATCCCAGGTAGCCAAACAGGCTCCATGAAGTGGGAGAGGGTCTCAGGGGCAATCAAGTCAATAGCCAGGGATATTAGGATGCTCCAAAGGTCAGCCAGGGCCTTGAAGCATTGCCAGCTAGAGGAAGGATACTTTCTGAGACAAAAGGGCCAAGTTAGCTCATCCTACATATAGGTAAGTTAAACTTAAAAGTTCAACTTAAAAGTTGAACCTGTGCTTGCTTAGTTGTGGATCATCCTGTTGTAAATAGTGACCCTAATTCACCCATACATCAAATTCATCTCATTATTTCCAGTGGATTCTTGCACAACCACACTTACCAATATTTGATGTTTCATAAAGCAGAGGTGGCATTTTCTAACTCCTTAATATTTGAATCCTAGGGAAACATAATGAGCCATATTTGGGGGTTTTGTTTGGAGGGGATGGAGAGATCACTTGAAGAATGAAACTTTACAGTAAATGAGATGGAGAATCACATTTGATAATTGGGTGATGCTAATAAAAATTAGCTGGGTGGGAATGAGTTTTAGAAATTTACTACTAGTTCTAATTGCATTCACCCCAGACTTCAGAATACCGTGAATTTGTTTTCATTGTTAGCCCTAGTGAACCGTTTGTTGTTAACTCTGGTTAATTGTCTATGAGACCCATGCTTAAAGGATTTGAACACCTACCACAATGCTTATACCTGCACAGTGCAATTAGCACAGTAAGACTGTGATAAGTACATATTGCCACAGATTCTTCAATATCATACTTAAGAGGTTTATTTTAAAGGACTCTGCTGCAGATAATTAAAGGCTAGCTTTATCACATATACTACACACAAGCCCCTCTATAAATTTGGAGGTCCGCTTTATCTCATATCTGTCTACCTGCAGAGAAGCTATGCAACTTCCTCTGACAGTGGATCATTTTTTGGCCTACTGGATACTCCTGTGACACCCAGTGCAAAAATGAATCTAGATATGTATGCAGCTTTTGCTTGTAATGAACTTGTGTAGAGATAGCTCAAACCTGTGTTCAGATGATGGTGGAAGAAATTAATAGTAGGATAAATGAGCACTGCATTCTTAACAGCTATGTGCATTATGCCAAACCATGTTCAGCAATATCACTTTCTAAGCTACCTTAGAACTATATCAAAGTCTCATTTAACTCTTTGCCAGACTTCTGCCACATCTTCGCTTCTTAGTGCCTGATGCAGAACCGGAGTGCAAAATGCATTCCATTACCACTAATGGCAGTAGCCTCTGACCCTCCCTCTTCCCCCTTGATGCTGGGGGATAATCGCATGCAAAGTAGGTAAACAACATATGCTGGTTAGCTTGCCAGATTTAGAATTGGCATCGGGGGGATGCTCTTCCAAAGGAGAGTTGCTGCTGTGTTGATGATCCATTCCAGTCAATTGCTCACCAGAGCCAAATAATAGTCAACTCCAAGTCTTTAGTAAGTTTTCTCTTCCTTGTTTCTCGGATAAATACAATCAGTCTTACCTTTCACATGGTGTTCTGACTGTAGATACGTTGAGGGATAACTATAATAATAATAATAATAATTTATTATTTATACCCCGCCCATCTGGCTGGGCTTCCCCGGCCACTCTGGGCGGCTTCCAAAAGAATATTAAAATACTATAATACATCAAACATTAAAAGCTTCCCGAAACAGGGCTGCCTTCAGATGTCTTCTAAAAGCCTGGTAGTTGTTGTTCTCTTTGACATCTGGTGGGAGGGTGTTCCACAGGGAAGGCGCCACTACCGAGAAGGCCCTCTGCCTGGTTCCCTGTAACTTGGCTTCTCGCAGTGAGGGAACCGCCAGAAGGCCCTCAGTGCTGGACCTCAGTGTCCGGGTAGAACGATGGGGGAGGAGACGCTCCTTCAGATATACTGGACCAAGGCCGTTTAGGGCTTTAAAGGTCAGCACCAACACTTTGAATTGTGCTCGGAAACGTACTGGGAGCCAATGTAGGTCTTTCAAGACCGGTGTTATGTGGTCTCTGCGGCCGCTCCCAGTCACCAGTCTAGCTGCCGCGTTCTGGATTAGTTGTAGTTTCCGGGTCACCTTCAAAGGTAGCCCCACGTAGAGCGCATTGCAGTAATCCAAGCGGGAGATAACCAGAGCATGCACCACTCTGGCGAGGCAGTCCGCAGGCAGATAGGGTCTCAGCCTGCGTACCAGATGGAGCTGGTAAACAGCTGCCCTGGACACAGATTTGACCTGTGCCTCCATGGACAGCTGTGAGTCCAAAATGACTCCCAGGCTGCGCACCTGGTCCTTCAGGGGCACAGTTACCCCATTCAGGACCAGGGAATCCTCCACACCTGCCCGCCTCCTGTCCCCCAAAAACAGTACTTCTGTCTTGTCAGGATTCAACCTCAATCTGTTAGCCGCCATCCAACCTCCAACCGCCTCCAGGCACTCACACAGGGCCTTCACTGCCTTCACTGGTTCTGATTTGAAAGAGAGGTAGAGCTGGGTATCATCTGCATACTGATGAACACCCAGCCCAAATCCCCTGATGATCTCTCCCAGCGGCTTCATGTAGATGTTGAAAAGCATGGGGGAGAGGACAGAACCCTGAGGCACCCCACAAGTGAGGGCCCAGGGGTCTGAACACTCATCCCCCACCACCACTTTCTGAACACGGCCCAGGAGGAAGGAGCGGAACCACTGTATAACAGTGCCCCCAGCTCCCAGCCCCTCAAGACGGTCCAGAAGGATGTTATGGTCGATGGTATCAAACGCCGCTGAGAGATCCAGCAGAACTAGGAAACAGCTCTCACCTTTGTCCCTAGCCCGCCGGAGATCATCAACCAGTGCGACCAAGGCAGTTTCAGTCCCATGATGAGGCCTGAATCCCGACTGGAAGGGATCCAAATGGTCCGCTTCTTCCAGGCGTGCCTGGAGTTGTTCAGCAACCACTCGCTCAATCACCTTGCCCAAGAATGGAAGATTTGAGACTGGGCGATAGTTGGCTATCGTGGCCGCATCTAAAGATGGTTTTTAAGAAGCGGTTTAATAACCGCCTCTTTCAGCGGGTCTGGGAAGGCTCCCTCACGGAGGGAAGCATTCACCACCCCACGAAGCCCATCGCCCAGTCCTTCCCGGCTAGCTTTTATAAGCCAGGATGGGCAAGGATCAAGGAGGCAAGTGGTTGGTTTCACTCGTCCAAGCAGCCTGTCCACATCCTCAGGGTAACAGATTGGAATTGATCCCACACAACTTGACTAGACAGGACTCTAGCACTCTCCCGCCCCGGCCCTGCTCCCACGGTGGAGTCTACCTCTTCTCGAATCTGAGCGACTTTATCTGCAAAAACTTTGCAAAGTCATTGCAGGAGATCATGTGGCCGCTACTGGGCCCTGATGGAGCAGGTGGTTCCGCTAAATTGCGAACCACCTGAAAGAGTCTCCTGCTGCTGTTTTCCGCAGATGCAATAGAGGCGGTGAAGAAAGTCTTCTTCGCCGTCGCTATCGCCACTTGGTAGGCTCGACATTGAGCTCTAACCCGTGTCCGGTCAGATTCAGAATGGGTTATCCGCCACCGGCGCTCTAGCCGTCTCAGCGATTGTTTCATTGCCCTCAGATCCGTGGAAAACCACGGGGCTGTCCGGACTCCATGCAATCGGAGAGGGCGCTTTGGAGCCAAACAGTCAATAGCCCTGGTTAACTCCACATTCCAGCGGGCCACCAGGGAATCAGCTGAAAGGCCATCAACATGGGATAAAACATCCCCTACCACTCTCTGGAAACCATTTGGATCCATTAAGTGGCGGGGGCGGACCATCTGAATCGGTCCCGCCTCCCTGCAGAGGGAAGGGTCACGGAGAAGTCCAGTTGCACCAGGAAGTGATCTGACCATGGCACTTCTTTGGTTTCGCTTTTACTTAATGTCAGATCACCAACATCCATAGAGGTGAACACCAGGTCTAAGGCATGCCCGTGGCTATGAGTTGGGCCAGACTTATTCAGGGACAGCCCCATGGAGGCCATGCTTTCCACGAAGTCCCGAGCGGCCCCTTGTAAGGTCGTGTCGGCATGGATGTTAAAGTCCCCTAGGACAACCAAACTAGGTGTCTCCAGGAGGACATCCGCCACGACCTGAAGCAGCTCGGGCAGGGAATCCTTGGTGCAGCGGGGGGTCGGTACACCAATAGGAATCCTGTACTGCCCCTATTGCCCAACTTCCAGAACATGCACTCAGAGAACTGGGTCTTTCCAATAGGACGCCTGGTGCAAACTAATGACTTCCTAAAAATCACTGCAACCCCCCCTCCCCGCCCACAAGGCCTGGGTTGCTGTGCGTAAGAGAAACCTGGTGGACAAGCAGCGGCAGGACGGGCCCATCTGCTTCATCCAACCAGGTCTCTGTCACACATGCCAGGTCAAATCCTCCATCCACAATCAGGTCGTGGATGGCAGAGGTTTTATTCATCATTGACCTGGCATTGCACAGCAACACTTTCAGGTCATGTGGGTTTCCCTTGTTGATTCCAGTATTCTTCCGGTCAGGACCAGACCTGGAGGCAGGGATAGTCCTCAAACAACGACTAAGCCTGCTTCCTCGGTAATGACATGGTCTGGTCTTAGCGTAACTCCTCCTCCTACCCGTGATCACTGAGATCGGTTGTCCGAGTGCATCCCCCCCTGTGGAACCTGCCCCAGCCATTTTGTTTGCTGGGACCCACTCCCAGGCAGCCCTGACCCCTCCCCTTATAACATATTTATTCCATTCTTCACGGTCCTGTTTTCCATTCCCTGTGGGCAAAACACGTTCACATGTTTTGTTTTTAAAATGTGTTTTGTTTGATCATATGATGAGAGCCTATGTGATGTTGTATAGGTACTTGTACACAGACACAATCAATGCATGAGTTAAGAGATATCAAGGTTAGAACAGGGATCACACAGCTCTATGCACTCCATATTTGGGCATGAATCCATGCAGTGGTGGGGAACATGTAACCCTCCACCTTCCATCAGCTCCAACCTGTATGTATGATGAGTGGTCAGGGATCCTGGAAGTTGTACTCCGACATTACCTAGAGGGTCACAGGTTCCCCAACACTGCCTTAGACCAAGGTCACCAACTAAACTTCAATGTAGATGAGAGGTTTTCATCTGAGTTACCCACATCCAATGACAGAATTGTATCCTCTTATCCACACTGGCTCAATAATGTATATCCGGGTTGCATATATGTTCACGATGACTGAACTGAAATAATAAATGCAAACAATGCCAATATATATTAGTTCCACAGCAAAAAAAGTAAACTACACTTCAAAAAAATCTTGCATTATGATTCTTTTGGCAGAAATATAAGAGAATTACTGGGAATACTGTAATGATGAGTGAAAATAGAATTTAATTAGCTTCACACATACAGATGCAGATCCAAAGCCCCAACAGAGTGAGCTTCTGAAGTCCCGACATGTCAAGCAGCAGGAGATCCTTCTGTGTTAAATTGAGTAAAAAAAGGCATATAATTAATGGAGACTAACTACCACCACTTGCTTAAATTGGTTGCACTAATGTCCTTTCCTTCTATAGGACAACTCTTATGTTTCATAGTTGATAATGGTGATGAATCAAGCTATTATACCGAAGATGTTAATATAGAGTTATATATTCAGAGTGATATAAAATGCTTGTCTTAAGGACCATTATAGAGAATTAAAGCTATCTAAGGATTCTGAGATATGGCTACGCTGAGATATAGCTATACTTTAAGGATATCCTCTGTTTTCTCCTTTGACCATGAAACCACAAAATATTGAAGACAGATGAGGCAGCAAATATGTGATGTTTAACAAAGGTTTGCATTAATGGCTCAATCATCAGATAGCTGACTCCCCATCTTGCATTCAGCATATGTATACATGCTGGGAGAAGTTCTCAAAGGTCCTTAGGTACATCCAAAGCTGCTTTACATCATGTAAAATCATTGGTCCATCTAGCTCAGTATTGTCTACTATGCTTGATCATGAGATCCTGCTGAACCAACTTTGTGGGATGGGCACTTCTATGTCTGGGTCAAATAATAGCATTGGATGGTTATCACTTGGCTCCATGGCAGTTGTGCTGTGGGGGGGGGGGGGGATGGAGAGTACCATCTAAGTAGATATCTTTATTCCAGCAAGCATCTACATCTGTATTAGATTTGAATTTGTTTTTATGTATGCAATTGTTTTAACTGTTAATACAGTGGTACCTCAGGTTAAGTACTTAATTCATTCCGGAGGTCCGTTCTTAACCTGAAACTGTTCTTAACCTAAAGCACCACTTTAGCTAATGGGGCCTCCTGCTGCCGCCGCGCCACTGAAGCCTGATTTCTGTTCTTATCCTGAAGCAGAGTTCTTAACCTGAAGCACTATTTCTGGGTTAGCGGAGTGTGTAACCTGAAGTGTATGTAACCTGAAGTGTATGTAACCCGAGGTAGTACTGTACATATAATTGTTCTGCATATGGTTTTTTTGCATTCTGAAATTGCTTCAAGATGCTTCATAAGAAGCAATTCATAAATAAATAAATAAATAAATAATAAGAAATAATAATGTGCAAATCAACCGTTAAGGAGTATGCGCAGAACACACACACACACACACACACACACACACATAGTGACTAGGCCTTATGATGACTCCGTTCAGAACATTTGACCACACACTGTGCAGAGTTTTGTGTTCATATGTTTTACAGTCTGTTTCTCCATCTGCCCTTATCTTTGGGGGATGTTGAGAGGTTTGGAAATTCTCTGTGGTCGGAGATAGGAGTTAGTATTACACTGAAAATGAAAATAACTAGGGAAACCAAAATAAAATGAGGGTTGTTAAGGGGTAAACACATGATTTCTACTCAACATAACTCATATTTATTAGCATAATCATATAGAACTAACGAGCAATTTATCTAACTTTAAGGATTAGACATGTCAAAGAATTAGTGGTGCAACAGAAGAATTGAAAAGCACCACATGTTTGCAACCAGATAATATATATATCCCCCTTTCCCACCCCTTCCTTCCTCTGTCCCAGACCACCATAATTTCTACATTTATAACCACCATACTGCAGTAGGATAACATTAATGCATATGCACATATATGTATGTATGTTGATATACACATCTTTCCAATTTTAGGTGCAAGAACAAACAGATTGGCAGTTGAATCTTACTTCAAGCACCAGGGCAAGCACCAGGGCACCTTAACACAGCTTTCTTCACCTCTGTATCTGTATCCAAGGCAGCTCCCTCACTTTGTCTTATAACAGGATCAGTTCTGCTACCAGGAGCCTTTGGGGAACACCATTAAGGTGTGTAAATACGAAAAGAGCATGGGCCAGTTTTAGTACTGATCAGATAGTTTGAGCCAGATAGGTCACCCAAACAAGGCAGACAGCAGAAGACATTATTTCCTCCTAACCTAAAAACAGATAACCCACACTGTCAGATGGACAGGGAAGTTAATCAATTATCATGCTATAGATCCATTAAGTCAGGGGTGGGCAGCTCTTTGGCTTCCCTTGTGGGCATCCTTCTGGGGAGGCTACATGCCAGGTTGGGTCAGAGGCAAAAGTGGGCAGAACAATAGATGTGACTCTGACTCTTGCCCTTGTACAGTAAGCTACATTCCAACCATGCAAAAGTCAGAGGTTTCTACACACAACACAACACATGTCCTCCTCCTTCCAGGCAAGTAAGAGGTAATTAACATAATTCAAGGACACATTTCCAGCCATGCGAAAGCACTCATGGAGGGCTTGATCTGTGGAAGAGGATGTGGCCTGGGGAGTGTCAGAACCTGATCCTGGGGCATTTCACTCTTGCTTTTAACTGAATTAGGTGGTGCCCCTTTGTTCACTCTATATTATATGCCTTGT